CTACCTGCATCCGCGTTATAAAAATGTCCATAAACAATTGGTAAGTTTATAGGCTTTTGGTTTGAAAATGTTTGGTTAAGTACCTAAAATTCAATAATTTACTGTTTGTAGGTTTTAGATGTGTAGAAAGTGTTGTTTGAGCAAATGTTTGGTTTCTGCAGGTTAATCTCAAAAGTGAGCTGCGTGAAAATGATGTATGACTGCAAAAGTTGATTCAATAGTAGATGAGGAAATAAGAATTATTGCTTATTTTTTGATTTGTAAAAGTTGATTTGTTTAATTGATGTGAACATAATTCTTATTTGTTTGTTTAATTGATGTGAACATAATTCTTATTTGTTTGTTTAATTGATTGAAATATAATGGTTGATTTTGTTGATTTCAATCTGCATTATGTTGAAGGCAAAAATGACTATCGCAATGTGAAATAAAAATAGCAACGAGAGAATCGTAACGCGAAACTAAATTCGCATTGCGATTTTCATTTCGCTTTGCGATTCCCTCGTTGCGATTTTCATTTCGCATTGCGATTCTCTCGTTGCGATTTTCATTTCGTATTACGATAGTTATTTCCGCGTTGCGATAGACATTAAGATGATTGCAAACGTCATTTCCGTGTTACGATAGTCAATTGAATGCCTAATAAGTGATAACAACTGAACAGATCATAGCAATTTTCAAACTCAAGTTACTAATATATGCCTAACTGAAAATATTAAAAATGCACACATAAAATTCACATAATACAACGTTTGCATTTAAAAATCACCTAAGTTAACAGTCCCAAAAGGTGAAGCCGGTTGTGATTGGGATTTTAAAGATGATTGCGATTTTGATTGTCTTTTGCTCGACACCATATGAGATTTGGATTTTGATGAGGATCCATATTTTGGTAGAAGAAAAGATGATTGTGATGGCACTAGTGATCCACATGTCAACCTTGTATGACCACTTTCCTTGCACCGACTACATGTCGATCTCTTCTTCTCTTCACCCTTAGAAGGTATACGATCGTGACTTTTTGGTCGGCCAGGTAGCCTTCTGTCCATGGCTGGTGGCAAAACTATTTGTAAGTCATCTGGTATGTCCCACTCAGAAGGTTGTGGAATAGGGTAGACAATCTCGCCATAAGTCTGTCGATATATTTCTGCAGTGTAGCAATCCATAGCGTATGCGCTTGAATCATCTTGGTTTAGATGAAGAGAAACTTTTATAACATGGCCACACGGATAACCAGATGTTTGCCATTTCATACAACTACACGTCTTTGCATTTAGATTGACAAGCCCATTTAAGTTATTATCTAGTACTTGAAACAAAGTGTTTGAACATGGTTCAACTCTCCATGACGTTGACTTCACAACACGTTTCGTTATCTTTTTTTCTGTCCATGGTGTAACACGATGTTCCAATGTTCATGTAAATTATAATACTTAGTAAAATATATGATAAGTTACGAATTTAAAGAAATAATATCTGCATGGTTTCTTTTCTTATAGTACCACTGTTGAATAGAGGCTCGAAAAAATTCCATTAACATAGTAATGGGTAATTTCCGGGAATGACGACTTAGAGCGTTGATTGATTCTGCACTATTAGACATCATGAAACCATATCTTGCTACAAGTTGATGTACTCTTGACCATCTTTCAAACCCGACATCTTCTAGTGTTTGAGCACACTGAGGCAAAACACGTCTTAAACAGTTTATATGCTTATTAAAATCCACTTCCCGATAAGCTTTTACAGTCTTCCAGTATGTCCATTTGTGATTTTTTATACCAACTGACCTTGATTTTAGATTTCTATACAAATGAACACCACAAAGTCCATGAAAAGCATCTAGGAAACACCTTCTAACAGCGTTGTCAATTGAGTTTGCCATATCGGATATGATTGTCAGATTGCTAATAGGACCTATGCAATCCCTAAGATGCCCCATAAACTATGTCTATGAATCAGAAGTTTCAGATTTGTCAACCCCGTAAGCTATTGGCAGTATCCCATTGTTAGCATCCATGGCTACTGCTAATAAGTTTACTCCAAGGTACCAACCTTTTAAATGTGCTCCGTCAACTATAATAATTGGGCGCATGCAATTAATAAACGAACGAATCTACAAAATCATATACACAAGAAATATAATCATTTAAATGTGAAATGCATGTAACTAACAAAAATGAGTTAACAAAATTATATTGATTTACTAACCGCATCACCAATGGTGATAAACAGCAACTCGAAGCGTCTATCTTTATCTGTTTTGATATGAGTTACCGACCTAGGATTTTTCAGCTTTAAATTGTGATAATAAGCCGGCAGATGGGCAAACGATGCTTCTGGCGACCCCCTCAACAATTTCAAGGCATAACATTTGGCTCTCCAAGCTTGAGAATATGAGATACTAATCTTGAACCGAGCATTCATGTCAGTCATAATTTCATGTCCCCGATATATCCTACTATTCAAAAACATTAACTCAGCCAGAAAACCACCCAACACCTTTTTGTTTGCCTGTCTATGGTAAGGAAAAACTTGGGTTCTTGAACATGTATGTTTATCAATAAAAGTCATAATTTGAAACATTTCGCAATCTTTTATCCTCTTTGCAATCATACGCCACATACAGTTTTTGTCAATCATACACCTTGTTTCGAAACGATCTTTGCTTGATTTGTTAACTTTTAGTTGATAGCCATCTTCCACACATTTCGTATACGAATAATTTTTGTGTAACAATCAACTGTTATCTTTACCAACTCTTCTTCCGGTATCTGAAGTAATTCTGACATATTCCAGTTATACTCCCGTGGTATTTTCTTCGAGGATTTTTCTTTGGGGATTTCTTCTTCTTCTTTTTCTTCTTCAGTGTTATATGAATTACAGAATGGATATTCAATATGTTCATTTACAATCGTAACTTCCTCCTCATTATCATCAACAATATCTTCCTCGGCAACAGTTGTTTCATCATCAAAATTCGGGTATTGACCAATATCAAAACCATTACACGCAGGGTCTGTTTCTTCTTCTGAAAAATCATCAAAATCCGAGTATTGACCAAGATCAAAGTTCGGGTATTGACCAATATCAAATTTCGAATACTGACTAGTACTCACAATTTTTTCTGTTGGCTCATCATCGTCTAACTGATCAATACGAAAACCGGAATTTGGTGCTGAAAGTTGATTGGGATTTGGATTAGGGAAAGGTTGTGGGTTTAGAGATTGTGTTTGGTATTGGAAATGTGGTGAAACAATATTTGATTGGTGATGAAATTGTGGTGGAACAATTAAATTTTGAGCACCATAAACTGGGGTTGAAAAACTTAGTTGATTACTATCCGCTACTGACCCAACTTCACTACTTCTAGGTTTAACAACATACAATGTAAAATCATCACTTAAAACACTAATGTAAGCAATGAATCGTTCAACATCTTTATTGTCGGTTAACAAATAAATTTTACCATTTATCTGATAAGATAGCCTAAATCCACTTAGGGGCTTTAAATTCAATTTATTTGCAACACGTAACATTAGAGTTTCATAAGTTAACTTTTTTAATAACAGTTTTAGTTGAAAATTCATGGATAAATGCATATATTGTAAAACACCATGAACATTCTCCCATGACCCTCCAAAACACAAATCTATCCAAACATGATCAATATTAGATGATTTCATTATTGTAAATTAATTTACTAAACAAACGAGCTGCGAAACTAAAACCTGTTGCCGGATGAGGAACGGATGTCGCCGAAGAGAGTGATAGATGGAGATGGAATGAGTTGCGATTTAGGAATTTAGGTTATGAGTTGCTGCTGCTGCGTAGTTATATACCCAAAACATTTATGTTACGAAATTAAAACCTGTTGCGAATTCAGAAATCGAGTTGCGAATTTAAAATTCAGTATTGCGATAGTCAGAATCTCGTTGCGATTTACGTATTCGCATTGCGAATTAGGAAAATCGCAACGCGAATTTGGGAAATCGCAATGCGATAGTTAGAATCGCGTTGCGAATCTGGAAACTGATTTGCGATACCGGAGATCGCGTTGCGAATTATCGATCGCGTTGCGAATTATCGATCGTATTGCGATTTAGTTGGTCATTTTGGCAAATCCAAAAAAAGTTGGTTAAAATAGTATATTATAAGGCATTTTTGGTCACTGAGGTTATTTTCTCATGATTTTATCGTAAAAAGACCATATATGAATGATATGCCTGTAACGAATGGTGTTTTTCCGCTCATCTTCCTGCATGCAGACAAGTGGAAAAACGACATTTGCTCATGTAGCGTATGAACGATGCTCATGCAGGAACAAGGGGTGATCTGAAAATAAGGGTAAAAACGTTGAATGTTAACCTTTCAGTTTTGGACTATGCAGGGAAGTGCAAAGAGGCTCGTAAAAACTGCTCTACAAGAGGCAGCAAAGAAGCGAGAAGTGAGGTATTCCGACTTGAAGAAGATCGACCGCGGAGTCCGCCAGCATTTCCATGACAACATCACAGTAATCGTGGTGTTTCTCGACTCGAACCTAGTGAGCAAGGCCAGCTCGATTAAGGGCCCTAATCTATCCGTTAGAGGGGGAGGAGTCAACTTCCCTCCTAACATACTGGCTCCCTGTGCTACGCCAACCGAAGCTGGTGGCACCTGATCATGTACGCTTATGTCGTATGTTTTTCCTCCTTTGTTGTATTATTTTCTTATGTGAATACCAGGTAGCTTACGAAAAGCGATAAATGAGTGAGCCTTCGATTCTTTAATGTACTCCATAACGTTTAACCGGAAACTAATACCCGTATCGAGCTTCATGTTCATCGAAAAACTCGAAAGAACTATAGAAAGAACAAGTTGACGATTGTTATAGTTACTACCTGGGATAGTTTTCATAGTTCATATATTAGTAGTCTCCTTTTGTTCTTCTGTTAGTGCAGTTTACTCTTTTTCTGTCTGAATCTCGTATTATGCGGATAATATCTCACATTCTTGTGTACGTAAAAGAACCGTGGATAACCCTAATGCAACATGCAAAGAATACATATATATATATATATATATATATATATATATATATATATATATATATATATATATATATATATATATATATATATATATGTATGTATTTCATCAAAGGTGTTTTGAGGGAATAATTCAATTATCAAGGGGTTCTTCTGAGCAACAAAGCTAAAATATAGCAGAGGAGGGAGTCAACTGATGCTAGTGCAACGATGAGCCCGGCAACTAGAACAAGAGTTAAAATAGCAGTCTTCAGCTGGAAAAGGAAAACGACGATGAAAACAAATACGTTTTAGCGTATACTAATCCGTTATAATATCAAACATTCTACAACTTTCGAGTGTAAGTTTTCCGATTCTTACCGTGCTTACAAAGCTAGGCCATTCTATGTATTTCAGTTGACTAGGTTGCTCAACCAGAAACGCAGACAAAGATCTTATGCCCCTACAAGCGTCAAGCATCATGCATCAGTTACTCAACAAAGGCAACATACACGAATATCATCGAGACTAACAGGGAAGGGAAGCAAACAGGGAAAAGAAAGGGGAAACAAGAGCATTCTTCAGTGAATTACCATATGGTTTCCCTAATCAGACTTAGCCAGAAAGGTTCCTCGGGTAATTCATCGTCGAAACTCAGTCAATGACGGTCACTTCCTACTGACACAACATGCCTGCTTGTGCAAGGCTTCCTAAGAGAACTTCCTCTCGAAATCTACAAGAACAAAACATCCAAACATCAAGCAATACTGCTCAACATGCCGAGCAAAAACAGAATTTAAGACAATACAGCACATAAATATTACCTCCACGGAAGCCGATCCATTAGGCTTATAACAAGCAAGCCTAGTTCTTTGGTATTTGTTTAGCTGAAAATATAGCTTACCATAACTAGGATGAAGCAAACCTACAAAATTTAAGGGGGGGAAAATAAAAAACAGTACAAAAAATCATAAATGTTCTAAAAAAAAGAAGAGAAAAAACCTGAAGAAACTGCCGGAAACCTAGAAACAATCATCATTGTTCCAAAGTTGATTGTTATAATAGTCTTGTCCACTGCTAATGAAGAAACATACAGAAGATTATATATAATATATATATAGTTAACCCAGAAATAAAAAATTCCCAGGCAGCAATCTCCTTTACCATTTCAACCTCCCTTTCCAGGGGAACAAAACAAGTGTAAAAAGGACCTAGGATTGTACTGCTCGTAGTTCTAGCAAACAACTTATAATTAATCTAAACTCCGAAAGGAAAATAAAGTGAATCTTTCACCATACTGTTGCAGAAGAAAATAACAACCAGACAGGAACAAAAAATAGAAGAAATAACCCCGAAGGTATAGGAAACAGTGAATTCGACGGTACCGTTTGTTTGCGATGAAGAAGACGAAGAAGGTCGGCCGTGGAATGTCCTCTCGCTTCACAAATCAAAACCCAGACGCCAAGCGAGAGGCTTTAGCCTTAGGAGATTTTAATAGTTTCTCAAGTCCAATAACATGTACTGGGGTATATTGGCCCAATAGGCCAAATGGGTAAATTATTTGGAAAATTAGGGTAAGTAAAAATTAATTTTGCAATATACCGTAACTTTTATAGTATTCATAAAACTCGTCAAGTTGATGTGATGAATTTTAATAAAAATATAACTTTTTATTAAAATTGATCACATCAAAATAAAAGTTTAAATAAAAATATATTTTATTAAAATTCATCGTTTCGACGTAACAAATTTCATATCACTGTTGAAAATATCATAAATCTTAAAATAATTTTCTACTAAATAAAAAACCAGTAGGCTGTACTGGGCTAATTTTGCCTGTACTGTGGAATTGCATTAGGCCCAAGAAATGGAGGCCATCATGATAAGGAAAGGGACGACGTGAGGGATTTGATTTTTTTTAAAAAAATATTATTCTTATTATTAATGTAACGGTAGACACTTAAAATTATAACGGAAAAATGTTAATTTAAGATATAATTTAGATATCTAAAAATATTAAGTCAAAGAAAAATAGAAACTCAATATAAGACCGTCAATAAAGAAATCATGTTATCGACGTCAACTTGTTAAGGGCATGCATAGGAGGGGTCCGAGGGGATCGTCTTTATTTTTTTTGTCAAATAATAATTTTAGTCCCTATTAATTTAAATATTTTTCAAATTAAACCTTTAGATTCCTCTCAAATTTTAGATTAAATACTTCTCAAGTTACTATTAACTTCAAAATTAGATAATTTAACCCATCTGATCTGTTCGAAATTAAAGCAAATCACATGTAGAATGAACACAATTGAGGTTCACAGCTGTGAGGATAAGGCTATGCAGCCTATGCTGCTGTCCCCTCAATTTTTGTATTATTAAAGACTATATATTCCTACTTAGATCTCTTAATTTTAGTTTAATTAGATTGTGATTACTTTTTATTATACTTTATCCTCTTGAGTTAGTATATGGACTCCGTCCTAGTTGTGAGTGTTGTGAGTCGTCGGATATGTTGGAAGCATGCAGGTGATTGGAGTAAGGACGGCCCTGATGATGCCACTTATTGGGAATCTGTCGGATCAGTATGGCAGGAAATCTCTTCCATTATCCCCTTCGGTACGTATGCTTTTCGTTTTCATGTTAAGACAGTGTCAGACAATTTATATATATGTGTGAGTGTGTGTGTATATATATATATATATATTATTGGCATGCAGCCGAACAACCAATTATTTTTACGCGTATTACGCTCTCAAGACACTCACTGCCATGATCTGTGAAGGCAGCGTTAGCTGCCTTGCTCTTGCTTATTTGGTAATTAACCCTCAATCATTGTGTAATCGCTTTGTAATCAGTGTGGTTGTGTAAAGCTGAAGTTTATGGGATGTTCTCAGCAGGTAGACAACATAGCAGATGGCCAAAGGGCGTCTGCATTCGGAATTCTCTCGGGTATAACCTCGGGTATAAGCTTAATTATTCTCTGCAACCTCCAATCTGCAGCTTTTCTCGTCGTTGAATCGAGACTCTACAGGTTGCTACGTTCGTATCGATGCTCGCGGTTGTCTACATGAGAATTTTCCTCGAGGTAAGTATATCGGATCGAGATGACAGTATGACACAACCAATCTTGAAAGGAAGTGAAGATGTCGTTCAAAAGGATGGCAATGTTGTGCCTAGGAAGATGCCTGCATTCAAGAGAATTCCATCCCTTGGTGACATTATTTGCTTGCTGAGGAGCAGGTACTACTGGTTTGCTGTAAATTCCTTCTTTCGAGTTATCGATGTTCGAAATGACCAGTGAACTTCTGTAATTTCAGTCCGTCGTTTACCCAAGCAGCAATTGTTGCTTTCTTCTATAATCTTGCAGAGGGTGGGATGATATCTTCATAAATGGTATGCTTTTTTCCCTTTCCAATTGTGCAAAATAATGGTCACTTTATCTTAGTGTAGCTCAAAATTTTGTGACCCTGCAGTACTATTTGAAGGCTCGTTTCCATTTTAACAAGAACCAGTTTGCTGATTTGATGCTACTTGCTGGAATTATAGCGGCTGCTTCGCAGGTATAAACACCGTCGATACATTTCTCGTAGCTATTTCGATTCTTTCATCCATCAAATATCAGCTAAACATTGTTATTCTTATGCGTTTCTGAATCATATTTCTGCAGTTGTGTATCATGCCCTTATTGGTATCTCCCATCGGAGTTGGAAAGTTGCTTTCAATAGGACTCTTAGTTTCATGTATACACGTAAGAGTTTGTTTGTTTTCCTCAACTTATACTCAATCTCTTATTAACAATGGTAGGAAGAAATGTGAACTGATGATTTTCTTACCTGGTCTCTTCTGCAGGCCATTATTTACAGCATGGCCTGGTCACCATGGGTAATTAGATAAACCCGGAGTTTAACTTAGTTCGATCATAGGCAACCACTTATCTGTATTTATATCTCGTTCCTTCGAATGATTCGATATTTTCCTGCAGGTTCCCTATGCAACCACTGCATTATCTGCTGTGATGGTCTTTGCACCACCTTCTGTAGGTTATTCCTTTTATTGACGTTTCATCGTAAGCTCTGTTCGATTATCTGAAAGACACGTCTGCTGATTGGATCCGAATTACGAGTTATACAGTTACTCAGCATTGTTTCGAAACAAGTTGGCTCGGCGGAGCAGGTAACCGGATCTCCCTGTTTTGAATCCTTTTCTTCATGGATGAATTTAACTGTCAAACCATGGTACTATAACCAGGGCAAGGCTCAAGGATGCATATCAGGAGTGAGCTCCTTGGCCAACATCATTGCTCCATTGATTTTCAGCCCTCTCACAGGTTTCTAAAGATTGATGTTTTTTTACCCTTCCCCGCCCACCCCCATAAAAAAAATACAGTTTTTTTACTGTTGAAGGTCAATTAACAAATGGTTTCTACTGTTTATCCAGCATCATTCCTTTCTGAAGATGCACCATTTCATTTCCCTGGCTTTAGTATCTTGTGCATTGCCATATGAACCTTACCATATGAACCTTACTTGGTATAAAAGTAACCAAATATCTTTTTTACCATTGTCGATTCAGTCTTACGCAACTAAAACGACTCTTTTCCACTTTTGTTTAACAGGCGATCGCCTTCATTCTGAGTTTGACAATAGGGAATGCTCCTTCCGATTCAAGTAACAAAAGCAGCAGCAATTGCATGGAGGTTTAGAAAGAAGAGTGAAATGATGATGTCTGTGCAGTAATTATAGAAGGTGAAAGTCTCTTTCATTATCAATGGATGATTTCATGGAAGGTGACTTTTTTTTTTTATGCAAGACAAAACAAAAGCTATAGAAAGATACTGTTAGCTTATGAGTATGGTCAAGTGCAATGACTAAAAAGGGTTACCACAACATTATCATTCAACCGAATAAGTCTTCTGGACCGGAAGCATTCTCTCCGTCATCCGAAGAAGCATCGCTGTTGGTGTCGGATATCCATATGAGATCAAGAAGTTCTCGCCCTCTTGCCGATGAGTTTTCTCCGTGTCGTTCTAGTCTACTCCTCAGCCTCAGCCATGAAAGTAAACACATCAGCGGGTCCTGCGGTGAAGTCATGCGGTACATCCAGTCCCTAGGTTTTGGTTTGCACTGTAGACAGAAAGTGCAAAATTACAATCATCATTAGATCATTATAACTGGAAACACAAATTTTTTATAGTTATCGTCGTCATCATATGGTCGGGTAGGTTTTCTGTTTCGGGGAAAAATTGACAGCTCTGAAACTGGCCCATCATAGTCATCATCACTATCATCTTCAATGTTAAAAGGGGATCATTATCGTCGTCGTCATTATCATACACATCATCCTTGAGGTAAAACAAACAAAAGTGACTTTGTTTTGGAACCTTTCGCAAAGAAGTAATAGCAGAGAGATCAGCTCCTCTGCTTCTCATATGTCTCTAGAATAGAATCATGGACATAGCCGACCAATACGAGTGAATATATACAGTTAAAAACAGCAAACCTGTTCTATTTTGTTTTCATATTTTTCTTTCTATAAGAGATTAGAAGAACAAGACATACGTCCTCAATATTCGTCGGAAGAACAGCTTTATGAGGTGTCTTTGGAGTCCATATCTTGATACCAGTCTCTATTCCACTGCTATCAAGAACTGTAT